CGATTATAGATCACAAATTGTGATAAAACATTGTTATAAGTAATATATTTTATTATCGAAGTATACGATGGAATGTAGAAGTCTGAGAACTGTTCCTCTTATCAAACAATGTATACATGACCTTGCTTTTTCTGTAGAAGAAAGAACCTGAATGTATACACAATAATATAGATACAACGCACAAAATAGATAAAATCATAAAGCTCATAATATGTGTAATAATAATTGAAATAATCTTTTTATATTATCTGAAATATTATGTACAGCTTTACAAATTGTCCGTTATAACACCAAATATCGCTTGCTGTATGATAAATTGTGCACAACATTAAATTGTACCTTTAATCGAAACTTTTCCAAGGCTGTGTTCCAAAACCACACTCTTAGAGCAAAGAGCGTGCCCTGTCCTTGTTCAACTTTCTGTAAGTAACAAAGATAGAACGACGCTCGAGCGTTAAGAGCGTGGTTCTGAAACGCAGCCCAAAACTATCATCCCACATATAACATCATTTTATTCCACATAATCTCCTTCCTTTTACCATACATTTCACATATAATTTTACTTCAAAAGTAAATAAATTCTAGAATATTGTTCTAACTCTTCTTTTAGTTTAGAAGCAAGTTTAGGAGCAAATTTAGAAGCAAGTTTTAAAAAATTTTCTTAAACAAGAATATATATATAACATTGATAGAATTTAAATGGAAATTTATCATAAAAAGAATACTTTATTTAACAATAAATTTATTTTCGCCAATTCCTTTTACCTCAAATTATTTAAAAATGTAATGGTTTAAATAACATCGTAACTTCGAAAATTGCATAAAGCAGTCGATATTTTAAAAAGTCTCTTTGTTAATGAAACCTGAGTCAATGTTGTCCAAACACAAAAAATTTTGAAAAGAATAAAAAAATTGTGAATAATGAAATTCTTAAAAGTGATCCAGATCCAGGTCAGGTGTGAAATCAGAAATTTTTCAATTTTTTGCTATTGTCAAATATTAATTAAATTTACGTGCTGTGTTGACTAGGTACGACGATGACCCAGGAAATTGTATGGTTGGTGGCGAACGACATGAATTTCGACGAGGCACATCGAAGATATTTAGTAGAAAGATTTCCTTTTGTCGAGTACAGTATAATATACATACACATATATGCATATATACATATAAGTATATACTCGTATATATTTTTCACAATGACTGCAGAAATAAAGAAAAATTATTTTTTTTAGGATAGGAGCTTTGTTCGACGACTATATCGCGAAAGACGTTCCTGGTAGGATTAATACGGAAAGAAATAGCGTCGAATTTGTGAAAAGTCAGCCCTCGCCGCGTTTCATTAAGAGCCACATGCCTCTCGAACTGTTGCCGACAGTTGTAAATAGTACTTGCAAGGTGTGTTTGCAATTGAATATTTCATTAGTTGAATGCTTAATTATAATATATAGACGGTATATATTTTTTAAGGGTCGAAGGGATACATTAGAATACGAAAATTTGCAGTCAACCGTTGATCATTTTTGTTCTTAGATTATCTACGTTGCAAGAAATCCAAGAGACGTGGTTGTCTCGTGGTATAAATTCCAGAAATCTTTGAAACTGTATGAGGGATCTTCCGAACAGTTCTGTAATAATTTCATGAATGACCACAGTAAGCTTTACGAAATGTTGATTAGTTTTTTCAGCTTAATTTATTATCTCAGTTATTATTTTGAAAGTCTATAATCTACAACAATTTCAGCGCTATGGAGTCCTTATTGGGAACACGTGAAGGAAGCGTGGATGATAAGACACAGAGCAAATATAATGTTTCTCTTCTACGAAGATCTGATAAAGGTGAGATAAAAGGAAATTCTACTTTAGTGCGTTGTTTCATATAAAATATAAAGAAATTTTTTTTAATTATTACATGTGTTAATTTGTTTTCTAAAACAATAGGAGGAATTAAATATTTTTAATTTTTTATAATTTTTGAGATTTTAAGTATTTATAGAAATATGAGTAAAATTCTACTTAAATTCTACTTAAAATACATAAGTAAACTTAAACTTAAATCTTCTATATAGTACTTGATCATATTATTTGGATTTAACAATAAAAATACAGCAGATAATTAAAAATATTACATACCTACATCTAATTTAAAAATATTACTGTTCTATACGTAACGTTTTTATCTATTTTGCACAGGATTTATCTGGAAACATAAAAAAAATTGCTGCATTTTTTGATAAGCATTACAGTGACGAGCAGATCGTCAAGTTAATGGATCATATAAGAATAGAGAATTTCCGCAAGAATCCGATGGTGAATCAGCCGACTTCTGACATCGTGATGCCACCAGAAATGTTTATTCGGCAAGGAACGACGGGTGGTTGGAAAGAAGTGTTTACACCGGAGATCGAGGAGAGATTTAGCAAATGGATCATGGATAATTTAAAAGACACGAATTTGGCTTTTCCAAGTTAAATTCGTAGCGATAGAAGCAATTGTTGTTGCAGTTTAAAAATTTTTTTTTCAAGTGTGTTTTAAATAGACAAGACTAGTATTAAAAGTTTTTCAACAAAAGAATTGTAAAGCTCCCTTTCACATCTTTAATGGTCGAAACATGCACGCACACAATTCGCACAAAATATAAGCTATATTATATTATAATATTATATATTTATAATTATAGCGTAAAGATTATATATAATCTAGGACAATGAATTTTCAAAAATTATAACTGCTTCCCGCGAATACCGCTAACAATAAGATGTTTAGTTTATATTTTTAAAATATCATTAATACTTATTAATTTTTATGGAGCTTATTAAAATTTCTGCCATGAGAATAACCGCGAACAGAAAAGTTAATAGATAAATTAGTTTTATAAGTTTTGTTATTTTTTGAATCACCGCGGCACCGTGATCTGCGTTTTAAAACGGTATCTTTCCGATTATTATATTTAATTTATTATTATTTAATATGATTAATATATAATATAATTTAACTAGATAGATGTTAGGTGCTTTTCGCAATTGTTCAATACCATTTTTGATTATATGTATACTGTACAAATTGATAACCAATATAGTTCAATATTTTATTTATGAGCTTTATGGGGTTTATGGAATCGCAAGAAGCTATCACATTATCACCACATTGAGTAAACGATAACGATAAGTTCAATAATTTTATCAAAAAAGATCTGTATATTGAATGTGGTACGCCGACTAGTATTTATAATTATTAATAATTATTTATAATTGTTTTCATAATTAAAAGCTAAATATGTAATTTTATTAATTATTACATTTTAAATATTCTCCGATGAGCAGGCTTTAACGCCCATTTTTCATTTTGTTTTATAATCTCGATACAACTCACTTATTCTAGATATTTTAATTGTTACACTGAGTAATTATTAATTAGAGCAATTAAATAATCGTATCGACATTATAATCAGTTATTAAAGCAGATTTATTCTTTTATTGAAACAATATGGACAGATATTGTTTTATGATAATTACTGATAATTAGTTTCTAAATTATGTTATAATGCGAATATACACATCTCACATTGCGATTTCAAAATCTCATCGACTTACATGTAATTTGCTTACAATTTTGAGAGACATTAAATTGTGTATTGTAATTGCAATTCTAATTACGTCTCTTTAAGAAATAAAATTTACATTGTCCACTTGGAAAAGTATATCTTATAAATTAATATTTATCTTTATTATTTTTGATATCACAAATTGGAACTTTTGCATTACATTGCACTATTTGCACTTATGTCCTTTGGATTAATGAGCAACTTTATCACTTCATCTTTTCTCTTTTTCTTTCCAACGTGAAAAGAAATTCTCAAATGGGAATACAAAGATAAGTAACACTTCGATTTATTTAAAAGTGCTTGAGGTAATACATACATAACTAGCGCAATTTAAAAATATTTCATGCATTTTTCAAAAAATACATATTACTTGAGTAGAGTTAGAAAACGCAACTATATGTAACACAATAATTTTATTAAGAAGAATTAAAAATACTACCACTGACTTGAATTAGATTTACAACATACATTGCGCGTGTACTTGGCATCTTTTTTACTTTTTTTGAAAAAGATATTATAATTTAAGGTGTAATATTGGTACTGCAGTTTTCAATAGTGATCCTTACGTATATAGTGTCGCTAATATCTCTCCAATTTGCGATATCAAATACTATCACTACAAACTTTAATTTCTTGCTTTAAGTAAAAACTATTAATTAATTTAGAAATGTTTGTTAATTAAATAATTATTAATAAGTGTTTATATAAAATGTCAATTTTATTAAGTACTCTATAACTAATGTCAGTTTTATTAAATATATATTTAATCTAAATATTTTTGCTTCTTCGTTCTGCATTACATTCTGTGTATTAGATCTTTTCCTCTATACTATTAACTTTTTAATCAACATGAAATATATTTTAATTTACAAATAAGGTTCTTATTTGATATAAAGTATCTAGGTTTTAGATTACCATAAAATAAAATTATAATACAGTATAAACTCGAAATTCTCAATTATTTTAATTAACAATTTAACAAAAGTAAATACAATGTTAATTATATATAGTTTGATTTTAAAGAAAACATTATTGACCTCGACAACTTTGAAAAGTAATATTGATGGAACGTAACTATGTTCGTCATGCTCGTTCCTTGAAATCATGTTTTAAATACCGTGCTATATTTTCAAAGCGAGACACATAGATGTATTTTATTTTTAATAACTTTCCTTATATATTAAATCTATGTTGGGAATAAGTGTAATTCTACGTAGCAATTAATTTTGGTAAATGTATATCTCATTACAACAAGTTCTTAATTTTAGAAATATCACGATTCTACTACCTTGGAAGATTGAGAACTGAAACTAACGACATTTGAATTTATATAATAGTAGCATAGCGTAACAACAGGTAAGGTCATAGGGAAATTACATACACAGAATTATAAAAACTTATGTATAAAAAATTAGAGTAAAATAGACTCATAAAGTAATAAAAAATGAGTACTCAACGAATAACTAGATATAATAAATGTACGCGTATATACCTACCAATGTCAAAATTACTGTATTAATAAAAGACAGCTCTCGATGACGTATATAATAAAACTTCAGCAATTATATGAGATCAACTGAAATAGTTGGAAACAAGGCATTTTGACGTTAAACTTATGATACAAATAGATGATGATTAAAATTGATGAAGATGACGAGGGTCTCTATAGTCTCTATACAAGAAAATCGATTTTTATACGACAAAATAACGTATGTGATATGACTTTATTTTTTGAAATTGTTTTTTTAGAACTAATTAAAAAATGTATGTGCCACTGTATTACAATCCATTAATTCCACTCAAAATTTTAAAAATGATTCAGCATTTTGATTCTCAATTTCCATTAGAGAGAAGAGCATCCGTTTATTCTTATATTACTGATAAGGTAATGACGTCAATATAATCCACTATTCCAAGTTTCTATCATGTGCCTGAAATAAATCGTTTTGATGTTCACCAGCAATAAACAATAATAAATTGTCATATTATTGCAATGTAACAAGATACAATTATACAATAATTGCTCACCAAGTTACTACTACTGTCTGGGTTATCAGGGTGATACATGTCTATGTGTCTCTTTAAATAATAGTACACATTTGCCGTTGGTACAGTTAAAAGTTTAGAGCAAAGTGAGCACTTTATGGTCTTGAATTCCATAAAATGTTTCCAGACAGACGACTCCGAACATCCTGATTGTTCCATTTTCTCGAGATCACAGACTAAAAAATTTATTTTTGTAATATAGAAATAGTGTCTCGCGCCAAGTATAATGCACGCGCAGTTAGGTTTTGGTATAGTGTATAGTGCATGTAACATATGCTATACCAAAATCTAACCCCGAGCGCTTCTTCGGAAGCACCCTGTTGCGAGTTGCGAGTACCCGAGATTTTGATATCTTCAACAAGAAATAAATAATTAATTATTATTGCTTTTAATGACTTACTTTGTATATTGTGTACTGATTCTGTTTAATTAATTATGCGTCGTCACTACAAATGCCGTTAATTTGAAAGATAGATGTTAATGTCTCGAACGATAATAAACGACTGGTTACAATGTCAATCTCTGGGGGTCGGTGGTCCGGTCGGTTGTGTTCGATTTAATCGATATTCGAATCTATCGAAGTATATTGTTGTCTTTTTTCGCGACGCTAATTGATTCTCTTATTGTGATTTAATCGATACTCGAATCTATCGAAGTTTATTGTTGTCGCTTTGCGATGCTGATTGATTCTCTTATTGCGTTTACTTTGTGAGCGGCTGGCGGAAAAGGGGCAACAACCATCTTAAGTACAATCTTAAGATGTCATAAACCAATCACAGGGCCGTATTGACATTACTTAAGACGGTCTTAAAATAAGAACTGACTAATATGGCCTGGTTTACACCGATGGGCCTAAGCAGAATGGCTGTCTTGGCAGTGTTTTATGCCTTAAGTTCTGCTTAGGCCCGATCTCTTGATACGCGTATCAAATAGTATATTAAAACTGATCAGCTAATAAATAAACTAATTTACTAGTTATTTACTATTTAATACGCGTATCAAGAGATCGATGTGAATTAGGCCTATGAGTACCGGTCTACGTTACAGCCTCGGCCAAAATTATTAGGTACCTTCGTAATCATTATCCTGTACTGAATCTAATACTAGAAAAGACTTTTATTGTTAAAAGTTTTTTACTACGCTGTTTATTATTATAAACACGTTTATTTATTTATTTTTTAAAATAAATGTTATTTAAAAAAAACTTTATTTTAATGGGTGCCTAATAATTTTAGCCAAGGCTTGAAACGAGATGAAAATTATAAAAGTAAGGGAATTCACTAGTGTATCTATAATTTTATTGGTCAAAGCCTCTAGTAAATCTGTTAATTCATTTTTGTAATTTTTACCTCGTTTCAAAAGACTCACAACCGACCGGACCGATCTCCAGAGATTGACATTGTAACCAGTCGTTTATTATTGTTCGAGACATTAACATATCTATCTTTCAAATTAACGGTATTTGTAGTGACGACGCATAATTAATTGAACAGAATCAGTACACAAGTGTAATATACAAAGTAACTCATTAAAAGCAATAATATATTTCTATATTACAAAAGTAAATTTTCTAGTCTGTGATCTCGAGAAAATGGAACAATCTGAAGGTTCGGAGTCGAATATCTGGAAATATTTTGAGGAATTTAGGACCCTACAGTGCAAACTTTGCACGCAAACTTTAACTGTACCAGCGGCAGATACGCACCTTTGGTTAAAGAAACACATCGAACATATTCACCCAGAAATAGAATTATCTGACGAACCGCATTAGACCATGTATTAGATTAATTGAATTTTGTCGTTAATTGACTATAACTTGGTGAGCAATTATTTTATAATTGTATCTCGTTACATTGCAATAATATGACAATTTATTACTGTATATTGCTGGTGAACATCAAAATAATTTATTTCAGACATATAAAACTCGGAATTGTGGATTACATTGACGTCATTACTTTATCAGTAATGTAACAATAAATGGATGCTTCTCTCTTAATGGAAATTGAAAATCAAAATGCTGAATTATTTTCAAAACTTGAGTGGAATTAATGGATTGTAATACAGTAGCATATAAATTTTTTAATTAGTGCTAAGAAACAATTTCAAGAAATAAAATCATATCACATATGTTATTTTGTCGTATACATCCCAGATTGGGTTCCTATTTATATATAATTATAATTAAATATATAATCATCCATATCTAAAAAAGAAATGTAAAGTCGATACTTGAATCTATCAAAGTTTATTGTTGTCGCGTTGATCTCATTTCAATTCGAAACGTTTGACACTACATTATTGACATTTATTTAAACGACAATTTATATTTAGCAATAACAACTAGTTTAGATTAATGACCAAATTTGCTGTCTTTGTTTTAAACCCTAAATAATTAAATTGTTATATTTATCCTTCTTTAATATTTAAAGATTTACATATTTACTATTTGGTTTTTAATTTTGACAATAAATATGTAATGATAAATAGAAATATTAAATAGTGATTGAGGCGTATAGGTGTAATTGAACGTATTTCCTCTTAATAATTATAATATAATTTCCTTACAAAATTGAGATGCAGGTTATAAAAGATATATGGGAGATTTATGTGAGAGAGATGTATCGTACACTATGCAGAAGATTATGCAGATGCATCTTTTTCGTAATATGAACAGACGTTATATGCGGGTTAGAAATCTGAAAAATAGATAATAGTGAACAATTCAAATCCCCGCCGAGGAATACATCGCAGCAAATTTTGTTATTACGGACTCATTTTAAAATTCGTGTGTGTGAAGTTGGCATATCATTTTCTGAGCATATTAAAGCATTTTCTAAGGAATTTCAAGCGTGAGGACCTTTGTATAAGTATTTAATAAATTAATACCGGCCCCGAACGCCGAGTACTTAGAGAGGATAAAGTAATATGCTGTGCAAAATCTCGGAGTTCCAGTTTATGTAAAATATTTTTTGAATAGTTCTGAGCATACTGAAGCATTTTTTTTTAATTTACGACATTAGCAATGTGTGCTGTATTTGCTTCAAAAGTTTAGAAAAAAAGAGAAACAAATCCTATCGGATGCCGTCTATCGAATGATCCGGCATTTGTATAATCTTTTAATTTAAAAATGACCTATTTAAAACGTATTATAAATGTTTTTAAAATGACGTTATTACGTTAAAATATTCACGTATCTTAAACGTTAGTTATTGGGTACGTGAGACGTCTAGCGTCTAGGACCGGTAATCACCACTTGTCAACGTGAAAATCACGTGACTTTGCTGCTTCGATATGTAAACAACCTGCGCGATTATCCGTAAAGCGGAAAAGATCCTGTGTATGCATATCATAGCAAAAGCTTCGCTTCTTGTTAGTTTAGCCGGTTTTCACACGCAATGATTAGTGGCGCCAACTGACTGGCATTCATTGGCGCCAGAACCGACTAGCAAACTCACAAGTATTTACACAGTGATTGGCGTATACTATGAAAAATATTTAACATTTATTAAACACACAGTAAATGACAGCAAGCATATAGCCTCCAAATTTGAGGTTATATGCTTTGGCCAACAACCGCCAGTAAACGCCACATTACTAGCGCCAGTTTGTATCAAGTGTTTACACTTGCATTTTTACTGGCGTTAGTCGACTGGCGCGGCCTGGCGCCACCAATCATTGCGTGTGAAAACCGGCCTTAGTGTAGTGCCGATCGCGAAGACACTCGAGCGAAATTTCAAACAATCAACGAGATCGAAGGAGGCTGTTAACGAATATGCGTTTCACGGATCTAAAAATAGAGTGGTTTGTAGCTGAGCTGGCGGCGAAATTATTGAAGTGGTATTTATTTTACAAACGCGGCTTCGTTAAAATCGGCTTCCGCGATAAAAAGAAAAATAAATGGGTCCTGCCATATAAATATGTCGAAGAGACAGCATATTTTATTTCGAAACTTGTCCGGATGATACATGAATTATTAGCTTTCCTGGATCAGGTAAATTGTTTTCAAAGTTTAGATTTTGAAGCTGATTATTTGGAAGTATAATAGATATAAATTTAAAAGAGCGATTCTAGAGTACAAACTGTATAATAAAACATTTTTATAAGTAATATATTTTATTGTCGAAAACTATGTTGAAATGTAGAAGTCAGAGAATTGTTTTTTTATCAAACGAGATTTGTGCATGACTTTGCTCTTTTGTAGAAAAAAAAACAAAAAAAAACCGGAGAGTATATACACTATAATATAAATAAGTGCATAAAAATAGGAAATTATAAAAAATATTATATGCAGCAATAAAATTAAAATAATCTATTTTATATTATCTAAAAACGTTATATAAAACTTTGTAAGTTGCATGTTATTACATTAATGTTGCTTAATGTATGAGAAATCGTGCGCGATATTAAATTGTATGTTTGACCGAAACTTTTCCAAAGCTGTTATACATTCCATATAATATCATTTTAAAAGTAATTCCAAAATATTATTGCAACTTCTTTTAGTTTAAAAGTTCTTGAGCAAAAAGTATCATTCTAACGTTAAGAAAACTCAAATGGCAGCTGAAATTTACTAGAAAAGTAATACTTTATATTTTATGCAATAAATTTAGTCTTTTACTTTTTATAATTGTTTTGTAAGTTCTTTTTATCTTAAATTATTTAAAAATATAATAGTTTAAATGACACTGTAATTTCAAAAATTGCATAAAACAGTCGATATTTTAAAAAGCGTTATTGTTATTGCAACTTGAGTCAATGTTATTCAAAAATAAAAATTTTGAAAAAAATAAAAAAATTACGAATAATAAAATTGTTGAAAGTGATCTAGACGCTTAAGTGTAAATGAGAAATTCTGAAATTTCCTGCTATTGTCAAAAATGTTAATTGACTTTACGTGCTGTATTGATATAGGTTCGACGATGACACAGGAACTTGTACGGTTGGTGGCGAATGACATGAATTTCGAAGAGGCACATCGAAGACATTTTGTAGAGAAATTTCTTTTTTACGAGTACAGTATAATATATATTTAGTTTTTTTTACGCAAAAACTGCAGAAATAAATTTACATTTTCTATTTTTACGACGGTATGGAAAAATACTTCTTGCGTAAATACCGATAAAGTTCTTAATAGAAACGAAATTTAAGTTCCAAGTATTTATTTTGTCGTATATTTTTAATTAGAATGCATAAGAAATTTTGTCCGATCAGATTTGATTTCCGATTTAATGAAAAAATATAGGAAATATGAATTCTGCATGTATTTTTCTCTTACATAAAAAAATAAAATTGTTATACTTTCTGAATTTTCTTTTCTTAGATTTTACTATATTGGAAGAATTCTTTTCTCTTTAGGATAGGATCAATACTGAACGATTATATCACAGCGAAAGACGTTCCTGATAGGATTAATACGGAGAAATATAGCGTCGAATTTATGAATATAGTCTGCCTTCACCTCGTTTCTTTAAGAGTCACATGCCTCTCGAACTGTTGCCGACAGTCGTAAATAATACTTGTAAGGAGTGTTTGCAATTGAATATTTTATTAGTTGAATGCATATTTATAATATGTAATATTCTATACGGTATTGAAAGGAAAAAAGATATAATAAACGCTGAAAAGAAAATTGAAAGTCTTATGACATTGTTTATACAATGTCCGTTCAAGATTTTCAGTTTAAATTCATCGAAGCACTTGTCATTTATGTATATACTTGAGTTGTTTTTTTTATCTCATTTCATACGTCGAAGGAAATAGGGATACATTAGAATGCGAAAACTTGCAGGCAAACCGTTGA